ACCCTATACGCATGCGTCGCTGAATACTGCGTACGTCGTGCGTTGCTGAATGCTGCGTACGTCGTGCGCCGCTGAATGCTGCGTACGTCGTGCGTTGCTGAATGCTGCGTACGTCGTGCGTCGCTGAATGCTGCGTACGTCGAGCGTTACTCTAAATGCTGCGTACGTCGTGCGTTGCTCTAAATGCTGCGTACGTCGTACGTTGCTCTAAATGCTGCGTACGTCGTACGTTGCTGAATGCTGCGTACGTCGTACGTTGCTCTAAATCTGTCTCTTATACACATCTAGATGTGTATAAGAGACAGGCTCTACATGCTGCGTACGTCGTGCGTTGCTCTAAATGCTGCGTACGTCGTGCGTTGCTCAATGCTGCGTACGTCGTGCGTCGCTGAATGCTGCGTACGTCGTGCGTTACTCTAAATGCTGCGTACGTCGTGCGTTACTCTAAATGCTGCGTAAATGCTGCGTACGTCGTGCGTTGCTCTAAATGCTGCGTACGTCGTGCGTTGCTCTAAATCTGTCTCTTATACACATCTAGATGTGTATAAGAGACAGCGTCGTGCGTTGCTCTAAATGCTGCGTACGTCGTGCGTTGCTCTAAATGCTGCGTACGTCGTACGTTGCTCTAAATGCTGCGTACGTCGTGCGTTACTCTAAATGCTGCGTACGTCTTACATTATTTTAATGTTTGTAACTAAAGTTCGTTTGAATAAGGTTAACTGATGTTGCACAACTTGCCAAAACATTCAACGAGGTTTAAATACATGTGAACTTCAACTTTGAATTATATGAAAAATTTGTAAAATAATTTATTCAATTTTAACCATGACGTCATTCATTCGCGTATGACGTCACTCTCAGTTGTTATCTTGATTCGTAACGGAAATAATTTATTCTGTTCAACGTTAAATCTCCATTTCAAATGCATTTCAGTTCCTATCAAGTCTAAGGAAAATATAATTCCATGATAATGTTATAATTTACCCTTGTATTTTTGACGCTAGATAATTCATCAACTATATAATATAGTAGTTTAGATTTTAGTAATGAGAGTCTGAAATGAAGGAATCTATCATTTTTCGATTACACCGTAGAATATGCAGATTGAACAGTGGACGTAATCAACATCTTACGTGATCTTATTTGCGGTACAGTTCAACATGAATAGAGTACGTTTATAAACTATACATCAAACCCGAAACCAATGAATAACTCGCATACACATTCGATCGCGCGTATGTGTATGTGAAAGCGCATACATAATGAATTTAACGAGGTGAAAATAAGCTAGCTTTATAAAATGCATTTCACAGGATTTTCCCTATTTTGAAACGCGTGTCCATTAGGACTTTTATCTTCTATGCAAAACTTGGCTTCAAGCAGCTTTTTCATCAGTTATTATTATTAATTATCTGCAAAATTTATTTTTATCTTTTAGAAAATTCAAATAAATAATTTGTAAAATTTCAAGAATTATCGAGCCAAGGCCATGCCGTGGGAACCTGTTAATTCACACATATATTGAAAAAAAATCATATTATCATTCATATATAACTGCTCGTAGGTATCATGAATAAACGCTGACTGCATGCTATATTCATGATCCGTACCGCATGCGTAAATATATATACTAATATATATATATATATATATATATATAATATATATATTTACACCAAATAATGATTAAAAATATTTATAAATATATAATTACACTAAATAACGACTGTATAGCCACGATACATTCATGATCGGTTGACATATTCATCATGAATACACATCACGCTATATAATTTTCGATATATAATTCATTGTCGCTATCATAGAAGGGGTGCAATAGGGCAGATATATTCTATAGGATATATAGGCCAGCTGTCGCTGAGCAGCCATCTGTGCCGGGGCAGCGGCTACGTTGTGATGCTATGGAGCCAACATCACTTATTGTGATGCAGGAGAACTTATTGTGATGCAGGAGAACTTAATGTGATGCATGTACATCATCTTACGCTTCATTGCACCACACTACATCACTTATTGTGATGCATGTACATCATCTTACGCTTCATTGCACCACACTACATCACTTATTATGATGCATGTACATCATCTTACGCTTTATTGCACCACACTACATCACTTATAATGATGCATGTACATCATCTTACGCTTCATTGCACCACACTACATCACTTATTATGATGCATGTACATCATCTTACGCTTCATTGCATCACACTACATCACTTATTATGATGCATGTACATCATCTTACGCTTCATTGCATCACACTACATCACTTATTATGATGCATCTACATCATCTTACGCTTCATTGCATCACACTACCACACTACATCACATATTGTGATGCAGGAGAACTTATTGTGATGCATGTACATCATCTTACGCTTCATTGCATCACACTTTCGTTGTGTTGACGCAATTCTCTAATTCAATTCTGTTCTGTCAGGGCGCTAGTTGAAAAAAATATTTGGTAATGCAGCGTTACTTGAAGTATCTATGCATATTGCAGCGTTACTTGACGTATTTATTGGATATTGTAGCGTTACTTGAAGTGTTTATGGGTATTGCAGCGTTATGTAGAGCAGAACTCACTCGTCCTTAACCTTTAAATTGATTATTTATCTACTTCATATTAATATGATTTCTTGTTTTTTTATCTCAATGCAGTAAATTTCATCTTCTTTTAGAATATATAAATTATATTTTTGAAAATTGGTCAAATAACCATTAAACACTGATCAATTTAATGAAAGAGTTAAAAAAACTATTTGTTAAGAAGAAATGTTATGTTTTCTTTCTTAATTGTTCGTTCCAAAAAACCACGACCAAATCATCTCCTCAAATAACGTTTGAATAACAATTATTATTATTAAGAATTTTTCTTTTACATGTCCCATTAAAAGAAAAAATCATAAGGGATAGGACAAGGACTTCTATGTTTATCAATGATAGATTAATATAATACTTGCCTTAAGAGAAAAATACCAAGGAGACTGAATAACTTTATTCATCTAAAATTTCTTCATGGTAAAGTTTCTTTTTTTCCTCGAATGAACGAAAAATTTTCCTTTTACAAATAGTTCCTTAAGCACTTTCAGTAAATCAATCAATGTGAGGTGCTTATTCAAACAATTTTCAAAAGCTAAAATTACTCGAAAAAGAAGCAAATTTTACTATATTGTGACGAAGACATATAAATAACATTAATTTGAAGCGGAGATACAAACAATTGACAAGTCAGGGATATTTTTCTGAGGTGTACACTGTATTCTATTAGCTTTATTGCTTCATTAACAGTATTGCTTCCACATATGGATTACATGGATTACTTGACATTACTTTTGGGTATTACTTCAGGTGTTACTTTATGTATTACTTTGGGTATTACTACAGGTATTACTTTAGGTATTACATTTAATATTACTTCCAGTATTATTTTATCTATTACTTTAGGTATTACTTTAAGTATTACTGTAGGTATTAAAGTATTAATGGATGTTACTGCCCAGTTATTAACGTATCGCGTATTTTGCAGCTTGGGTGAGTTTCCGCATCGCTGGTTGCGGCGGCTCGCGATCTGTAATTTCACGCTCCGCTGCCGCTGAGTCTCCTGCTCGGTGTTACTTGCGTTACTCGGTGTGTTACTTGCGTTACGCGGTGTGTTACTTGCGTTACTCGGTGTGTTACTTGCGTTACTCGGTGTGTTACTTGCACCACCACCACCACCACCACCACCACCAGGCGCTAAGTGCTGTGTCCCAGGAGTGCAGTTAAGCGTGGCGCGCGAATTCTCTTCAGTAATTAAAAAAATTCATCTGGAAAATTAAACCATACGAAATATTGTATACATTTCTTCACAAAACTTCTTTCGGTGATACTCGGTCACAAAAAAAATCTATTCCATAAATTTATTCAAAAAATCTCGTGTGATTTTGATAGCAAATTTGTCTTAGGTTCACTCCATTATTATTAATAATCGTTATTATAATAATAATCGTAATAATAATCTCTCATTTGAAAAATTAGCATTTATGATATCTTATAATATCTTATAGCATCTGTTCTGATAATTTCCATTATAAAATCATACCAATAATTTCTGTTATAAAAAAAATGTTATAAAACTATTTTCAATGACAAATTTGTGGCGAAAAGTTGGATGATAAATGCATGCATAGCTCGGATGATAGTGATGATGGTGATGATAGTGATGATAGTGATGATAGTGATGATAGTGATGATAGTGATGATAGTGATATTGCGCTTATCGGTGCGATATTTGCGCTTATCGGTGCGATACTTGCGCTTATCGGTGCGATATATGCGCTTATCGGTGCGATATTTGCGCTTATCGGTGCGATATTTGCGCTTATCGGTGCGATACTTGCGCTTATCGGTGCGATATATGCGCTTATCGGTGCGATACTTGCGCTTATCGGTGCGATACTTGCGCTTATCGGTGCTATACTTGCGCTTATCGGTGCGTTACTTGCGCTTATCGGTGCGATACTTGCGCTTATCGGCATGTGGCGACAGTCATGTGTGTGGCGACAGCGCCACATGACGTATGAGGTGCAGAGTTATGTGTGTGGCGCCACATGTGGCGACAGGGAGTATTGAGAAGGCATTGTCTCGTCGGTGTAGTCGTTGACTTCTTTGTTGAGTGTGTAATGGTCACGGGGGTAATTCAATGAACCATAAATTAGCGATAAATAGCCTTGAAGGCTAACGACCAGCCACGTGCTACCCACGCACGCGACTCTCGCCCTTACGACACGCATTATCAACAACATTTCAATATAACATTTCACCAACACACCCGCCACGTTCTCGACATACTGAACATATAATGATAAATAATTAATTTTTCTTAATAGAATTTAAATATTTTGCCTATTATTCCAATTTTAATAACTGATATTTGTCGGTTCATGAAACTTTTCAATGTATTTGTGTACCCCGAGCACTAAGGGCGGGAATGGCGTGGCAGGGCAGGTTGGGTGTGGCAGGATCGCAGATGGCCGAGGAAGGGGACGGCGGTCCGTCCTTTGTACGTCCGTCTTTTTGTGACGGGAGGGCGGACAGGCTGCCTGGTGGACTTGGTAGGGCGGACAGACTGCCTGGTGGACTTGGTAGGGCGGACAGACTGCCTGGTGGACTTGGGAGGGCGGACAGGCTGCCTGGTGGACTTGGTAGGGCGGACAGACTGCCTGGTGGACTTGGTAGGGCGGACAGACTGCCTGGTGGACTTGG